CCTTTGTTTTCTTTTCACCCATTTGATCATTTCCCACAGAAAAAAACATGCCCTACTGACTCCAGCCACTTGCCCCGACACAGGCCAAACAATCAAATCAAAAGTAAAGATTTAAAAAAGAAAAATTCATGAGTCTGCATTCCAAAAAAGGGTTAATGAGAAGAGGTGCTGGAGCGGCTAATAATCCGATAAACAGCAAGCATGATCTTACAAAACTAGGAAAACCTTCACACCTGCACTCATCTCCCTGCCCAAACCCCCATCATCTCAGATCAATAAAAGCCTCTCAAGGACCACGGACGGCCACAAAGTGGAAGGCGGGGGGGGCAGGGGAAGGGAATCTTAGGTTTTTGTCATTTGTTATCATTGTTTTGGCTTTTTCTATTGGAAATTCATCCTGAGGCATCAACGCCCACTCAGACAATTCTGACAGGGCTCAAAAACCAAAAAGCAAAAACAACAGGGCAGGCAAATCGATGGGTCCACCATGGTCATGTAATGCCATAATGACATTGATGTGCTCGTACAATTCAACCTGAATGAGAAGTTCAGGGACCCTGGGGCAGAAGCGAAGATGGGGGGGGGAGACCTGATTCCGCCCCCAGCAACATTTGCCTTGCCAGGTGCGACATGACAAGTGCTAACCAAGCTATTTGCACAAGACTTCCTGGAAAGCTTTTACTCAGGATGGAGGGGGAAAAGACCGGTTAACAGAAAGGTGGCATGTACTTGTATTTTAATGACAGGGTGACAGATAGACAAACAGAATTCTTCACAGTGACAAGCAGAGACAGGGGAAAAAACCAGGTCCTGAAAAACCACTGCCTTGGGGGGCTACAAGCTTGGAGACAGGTCAATAAAGCCAGAAAAGTTTGATGCACTCTGAAAGTACGCACTTAGATGCATATACTTGTTCATACAATATAGGGATCCATTTTCAGTTCAATGAATTTTGGACTTAGACAAGGTCAACTGCATCATGACAATTTGCAAATAAGCCTTTACATGTACAAACTCACTGCTGATTTTCAATCCAAGATTTCTTTTCTTATTCAACTACCGTATAGTATCAAAAGGCAGAATTTCAGTTGGGAGCCTCTGACACCCATTAACATGTACACACAAAATTCTTCAAAACCAAATCTGACAAATTTCACTGTCACCCATTTTGAATTTCTCAGTGTGCCTTTTCAAAACTCTAGCCTCCAGCAGTGCACATGCAGAAGTTTCTGGCAGATAGAGAACACGTGATAATGTGTTCAAATCGGGGGAGAGTAAAAAGAAAATGAGACCGAGGTTTGTTGACAATGTTCAGCTACACAATTAATGACACCTCTGAAGGGCGCCCCCAATCAGCGAAAAGAAAGACAAGTGGTTATCCAAACGAGGTCTTGCACGCGTTCCGCGCATATGCAAAGACCATACATGCCTGAGTAAATTACCGATAGTTACGCATACTCAGTGTGCTCCACGTCAAATGGGCATATACTTGCACGCGCCACATGTGGTGAGTACCAAAAAAAATGCCCTCTTTTGTTCGGCTTGGAGGGGATTGTCCCAGACAGATCCTCAGCAGATTCTGAGGTATCTGCTTTCAAACGACACAGTTTAATGATCCTCTAAACATATTCGGCACACTATGAAGTCAAACAAATGTGAACATGAAAAAGCGGAGTGCAGAAAACGTGGCAATTAAAGTTGCGGAGCAAATGCCGCCCTTGAATGTCTCCAACATCCAGCATCAAAGCGATTGGCTGCATGCATTCCCCATTAAAGTACTGAGCGAGCTGTTTGAATCCAAGATATTGCCAACTTCCTTACCCTCCAACAATTCAAGTCGCTTCTACTTAAAATGAAAAAAAAAACAAAAAGAGATAAATGTGTGAGAACCGAGCGATCCGTCAGGAAGAGGGGTTTTTATTTTCTTTAGTCACAGGAGCCCATCAGCCATTTCAATTACTCATGACTGACTGAATCCCTCATCCCCTCTTTTTTTTCGGGAAAGCTGCTGTCAGGAGATCAGAGGCCATTTAGTGAGGAGAGGTAGCTCACCTCACCCTGACAGCATGACAAAGAGCAGGTAGATCAATGAGATAACAGCCGTGCTGGATCCTCCAAACTCGCCATTTACCAGGAGAAGAGCCTTTTTTTACTCCAGATAAATCCAGTGAGGGTAAAAGGCGCGGGGGGGGGCACCTGGTGTGCCCGGCTGGCATGACGACGGGTGCAATTTACCGGCCTCTTTGCCAGCCAAGTGCAGCCTAAACAAGGCCTTTCCCTTCCCCAAACACGCCTGACTGGATGATATGCCCGCCGAGCTCTCCGGGCGACTTAATTTGCACTCGTACGTCCACAATGTGCTCTTGTCTTTCAACAACTCTCGCTGATATGTTTGAGTGGTCAGACCTCGAGTGCTAACAAATTGGGACCAATTCCAGCTGTGGCACTTTTCATACCTCATATAGGACTTTCTTGACAACATTGAAGTGAAAATTTAGCCCTGACTAACACTGACTAATGAATCTGACACCTCTTTTTTTGGAGGGGTGGGGGGGGTGCACTCAACAGAAGCAGAAGCATATCATCAACAGAGGCATTATACTGGGTACATGTACATGTAATGGAATGGCTTTTACTTCCTTTCCTGTTTTCCGCTTTTGACTTTTCTCTTTTCTGAATTGTTTTCTTTCTCATTTTTCCAATTTGCTTGTGATTTTTAGCTACTACTATTTGGTAATCCCTCTTTAACCACGGTGCATGTTTTGAAGCCCAACAAATATGTACATGTAAAACTAGTAAACTCTGCTGGTAAAAGTTAACTTACATGTACTCAAGAGGATCTACATGTACATGGTGTCCACCAATCATACTAAGCTATGTTAACCAAGCACCAGGCTAACATTCAGTTAGCCTGTACGGTAGCTTGTTAGTAACATTAATGCACAGCGTACCTGCCCATGTAATGATGTACAGTGGACTGCCAGTACTTCACTTGTCTGTCCAGGTTCCTAAAGTACACCACGT